AAATAACATTTTTGTTTTGCTTGTAAAATTGCTTTTAGTTCATATGGTAATATTAAACATATTATATTTCCTTAATCCTAAACCTGACATTTTTATATTAAATTTTTGAAAATCAGAATGTCTAATAATATATGTTATATATATATGTGTGTGTTATGTATATATATATATATATATATATATATATATATATATATATTTAATATAGAAAAAATTTTCCTGGTACAGGTGTTTGAATTCAGGGTCCTGTGCTTGCTAGGCAGGCACTCTTACCACCTGAGCCATTTTTCTTTAGCTATTTTTGGGATAGGGTCTTGCTTTGTTCTCCCCAGCAGGTTTGGTCTGCAATTCTATTTACACTTCCTGGGTTGCTGGGATGACAGGTATGTGCTGACACACCAGCTTATATTGGTTGAGATGGATTCTTGTGAACTTTTTGCCTGATCTGGCTTCAACCAAGATTCAACTCATCTTTGGCTCCCAAGTAACTAGGACTGCAGGTTTGAGCAACTGAGCTCAGCCTAGAACAATTTTTTTGAGATAGGCTTGCTATGTAGACAAGGGTGGCTTTGAACTCATGATCCTCCTGCATCAGTCTCCAGAATTCTGGGATAATACAGAACATTTTTTAAAATCCCACAGCTGTTATTAAAAAGCTAGTGTAACTTATGTGTTCTGGCTCCTATACTCTTGCTTTAAAAGGGGTATATACAGCTAGGTATGATAACACACCCCTATAATCTCAGCACTTGGGAAGTTGAGGCTGGACCTCCTCTCAAAAAAGAAAAAAAAGTTTAGCTGGGTGCTGGTAGCTCATACCTGTAATCCTAGGTACTCAGGAGGCAGAGATCAGGAGGATCAAGGTTTGGAGCCAGCTGTGGACAGATGGTTCACAAGACCCTATCTCAAAAATACCCAACACAAAAAGGGGTGGTGGAGTGGCTCAAGTGGTAGAGTGCCTGCTTAGCAAGTGTGAGGCCCTGAGTTCAAACCCCAGTACCAGCAAAAGGAAAAAAAATAGTTTAGTAGGAGGATTGTGGAAAAGTCCCTGTTTATTTTCTGTGACAGTTGTGGGGAAGGATTTGAGAGAAACAGAAGTTTCCCAATGAACAGGTACAAGTATTTTATGCTCATATCAGGTGATGGTATATGAGGGAGGACAGAAAGTCATGACATGTATTTTTAGGAGTATAACTTCCAGATGTTCTGTAACTTGTACCACTTGAAAACAATTAAAATAGCTCAAATCAAACCTTTCTGAAGTCTTTCTTAACTGCTCCTTTGATTAGTGTGGTAATTCCCAAAATTTGTTGCATGTTAGTGTCCTATGAAGCACTTCAAATATATTGATGTCTGTGTTCTACCCCCAGAAACTGTGATTTAACTGGATCAGGGTATGAGCTGGACTTTGGAGTTTTTGAAATATCTCAAGGTAGTTCTAATGTACAGACAAGTTTGGAAACCACTGCAGTAATGATTTATAATGCTTTGTATTGTTACTCAACTTCTATGATGAACTTAACTACTCTCCATAACTACATTGCAATTCTTCATAAACAAGGATTAAGAAATATTCGAGTGTCTACATGGGAAGGCACTGTGCTATGAAATGAAAAGGCATGGTCAAGGAAGGAATATATTTGTTTATATGCTAATGGGAAGAAGCCAATAGAGAGTAAGCTGTTGGAAACACAAGATGATGAAGGAAAATTGACAGAGTTGCAAGGAGGTAAATTTTAGCAAACAGTCAAATTAGAACTTGACTGCAAGAAGGATACTTTTCTTTTGAAATAGTGGAGGACTGGCGGTGTAGCTCAGTGGTAGATTGCTTGCCTAGCATTGCAAGGCTCTGGGTTTGAACCCCAGCAACACAAAAATATTAAGTAAGTAGTAAGTAGTGGAGAAAGAAGGAAGTTTAGATATAGATACAGAAAAATTTGTTCGTTGGGAGAAGGGTATTAAAGTTTTAGTTGATAGTCAAGTTATCTGACAAGGAAAAAAAGAGGTGTGATATGAGCTTAAGAAGGGTGAAGATTTCAAATCGCTAGTGCGATGACTGTAAGAAGATGCTGAGTAGGGATATAGCGTAGTAATGTTCACAGCAGAGGTAGATTATAATCGACATTTAGTGGCACTATGTTTGCAGAAACATGGTTTTCTTCAGCATCGCGAAGCATCCAGATCCCAGGTGCAGAGATGATTGACTCAACTTATCCATTGTTAGAGTTTGGCCAGGATGTTGTAACAGCGGAACAGTGGAAAAGATGATTCAAGTTGCTGGTGGCAAAAGAATAGAGTGCAGATGGTACAACTGGATTGCTATTTGGAGAAACTGAAAGAGTCAAAGGAGTAAGGCACCTGGGCATGGTGGCACACATCAATAATCCAAGCATTTGGGCAGCTGATGCAGGAGGATTCAGACTTCCAGGCCAACCTGGGCCTCATAGTGAGACTCTTTCACACACATACACACACACACACACACACACTCACACACACACAGAGAGAGAGAGAGAGAGAGAGAGAGAGAGAGAGAGAGAGAGCAAGCTAGAAAGTATTAGAATTAAGGATAAGAGGTTTCTAGTCCAAGAAAAGTAGAGTGTGGGAGTTTTAAGATTTTGGAAGTGGGAGCTGGGGACATGGCTCAAGTGGTAAGATTTTAGAAGTGGAACTGTCCTGAGTAAAAGTCATAAAGAATGAAAAGATGCTATAATCACTCAAGAGACTCAGACTGTGGTAAGCTAGAGTCCTCAATGACTGGGGGAGAATGAGCAGAAAAGTAGTAAATGGCATACCTACAAGTGAATTATAGAAACTTAGAAGCAGAGGTGAGGAGACTAACTCTGGCTCCTTGACTATGAAATTGGAGATTTTTTCTCAAAAAGGTGCACGCAAAGCAATTTTCAGGCTGGGCATGGTAGCATCCATCTGTAATCTCAGCTACTTGGAAGGCTGGGACAGGAGAATGAAGAATTTGAGGCTAGCCTGGGCAAAGATAGTAGTAAGTCCCTGTCTCAAAAACAAAATAAATTATCAAAAAGGACCAAATAAAAATTTAAAAGGGCTGGGGGCATAGCTCAAGTTGTAGAGTGGTTTCCTAGCATGCACCAAAGCCTTGGGTTCAATCCCCAGTACTGCAAACAAAGTGATTTTAATAGATTTCAGTTAGAGCAAGGACGGAAAGTCAGAAGAAGCAATATGATCTAACGGACTTCTGGACTCATGCCCATAATAGATATATGTATTTTTTTAAATAAATAGTTGTTATTTATTCTGATTTTTATTAATTAGGTACATTTACCTAATCATCATATAATATGGATTCATAGAATATGAATATAATATGAAAGTAGTATAAGAAAAAGAAAGAATTGCATTTGGAAGGTACCACCTCTAGAGAAATCAAGGGGAAAAAATTAACACCCAGGTCCCCAAAGAGTAGAAACCCAAGTTGTCTCTTGTTGGCTCATCCTGTATTGCTCCTCCATTTCTCTCCTGGTCAACTGAAATCAAATGTGCAACCTCAGTGCAGGCATTTATGGAAGGAATTTGGAATTTGGGGTGGGCTGGTCACTTGGGAGAAAAATAGCTATCAGATACTTCATCTTGAGGCAATGAAGAAAGGGACAGTTCTCAGGGATGGGTAAGTAGATACTGCACTAAACAGGATATGTAGAAAAGGATCTGCTTTGAGATTAAGTGTGTGGGCCAGGGATGTGGCTCAGTGGTAAAGCACTTGCCTAGCGAGAGCTGTCTGAATTTTTTTTTTTTTGAGAAAACCAGAGATCTGGAACATGGCTCAATTCAATAGAATGCTTGCCTCAATAGTGTGAGGCCCTGAGTTCAATCCCCAGTACTGCCAAAAAAGAGAGAGAAAGAGAGAGAGAGAGGGAGAGAGAGAGAAAGAGAGAGAAAATGAGACATGTTTTGTCATTGTAATTATTAGCACATATTAATTGTGTAAGTTAATGGGATTCACTGTGATGTTTCCATACATGCATGCATCATGCATTGCTTCTGTCCACCCACCTTTTTCTACTCTTTCCCACCTCTTCTGTCTTCCCTCCCACTGAAGTATGAATATTTTTAATCAAAGAACATTATACATGGTAAGTTATATTTTCTGTTTCCATTGGATTTTGGTCAGATATAGTCTCTATGCAATAAAAATGCATGATTATTGTAATGCTCTAGAAAAAATATCCTCTGATGTTCCAAACAAAGGAAATACATTGTCATATAATTTTATCTATCTATCTATCTATCTATCTATCTATCTATCTACATATATATATATATATATATATATATATATTTTTTTTTTTTTTGCGGTACTGGGGTTTGAATTCAGAGCTTACACCTTGAGCCACTCCACCAGCACTTTTTTATGATGGGTTTTTTTGAGATAGAGTCTCATGAGCTATTTTCCCAGGGCTGGTTTCGAACCTCAATCCTCCTGATCTCTGCCTATGGCATGATTTTAATTTTTAAGAACACTTAACTCTGTGGCTGAGGGTTTGGCTTAATGGTAGAGTGTTCATCTAGTATTTGGGGAAGCCCTGATTTCAATCCCCAGCACTGCAAAGAGAAAAAAAAATACTTAACTGTAAATAGTTTATAACTTTGAGGTAAAACTAATAATTCATTAGGTTAAACTCAGCACCACCAAAAAAAAAAAACCCTCTAATAATTGTTATGTTTTATTTACAGATCATGCCTTGACTGTATTGGTAAAAATGCTATCATTTTAAAAAGTCAAATATCTTTATTACCTCCTAAACTTCTGCAACAAGTACTCAAAAAAATAACATTTTGGACTGCAGCTAATCACCGAGAAGAACAAAGAGTCCAAAAAGAAGAAAGAGAAAATAAGTGTCAGTGGAGCAGTAGCGACTGAATTGTTAGTCTGTATGTGCAATATGTTTGAACGTTTTAGTGAGACTGTACAGTTACCGTTCCCACCCAATTCAGGCTTTATTTAAAGGATAAAATTTGAAACAAAAATGTCTGTTAAAGTGATTGTATGGCATGGGATATATGGAAATAAGATGTTAATACAGATTAATTTATATTTGTAAACCAATTAAACTATAGAACAAATATTCTTTCCAAAAGTAAGTACAGTGATAATAGAACTTAACTCAGTGAGTACCCTTGACTGGAAAGATTATGCAAATTTGAGAGTAAGAAATTACCCTATGGACTTCAGAAATCTCCCAACATAATTGTAGATACATATATAAAACACTACATATCAACTTTCAGAAAGAATAAATTTTTTCATTACTTTAAAATTACCTAAGTGTCTTAAGTAACTCAGTTATTAAATAACTTCTAAATAACTAATACAGCTTAGCCAAAAATTATAAAAGAGGCAAGCATCAATATGGTTATTAAATATTGAATTCCTGCTCTTTTAGCACTTACCAAGTAAAGTATTCTTAGGCATCACAGTAACTTTTCCTCACCTTTATTTGAGCTGGGGAAACACAGCAATTCTGTCTTCATTACCCCTAAATTAGTAGTTTGCCAGATATATATCTATAGACCTATAGATATATATATATATATGTAAAGACCATGGTTTAAAGTATATAAAGTGGAGATTTATTTACTATAGAGGTTTTAGAATATTGAGAAGTAGCATTATTTATTAACTTTGGGGACATTTTGTCTTGGAAGAGTGCTTCAAAGGCATTTTTGTAAGTAATGAATTAGGGTGGTAATCTTGCAGTTTGACTATGAAAACCCCTCAGTTTGGTTCTTACTACTGTGTAGAGTTGATGCTCAAGACACCAAAATGTTCAAACTCTAATCTTCCCTGTTGTTTCAGTATTAATATCTATCTGGAAATGGAAGACTGGATCTGTATATTCCTCAAAATGGTATTTTTGCCCTAATTCAGACATTTTTCTTTACATGATCATCGTCACATCCTTCCATTGACTTACTAGTTAATCACTAAAATGCTTGTTATGTAAAATTACTCTCCACACTGTCACCATGCAAGTTAGACTAAAATTTAAAATGTAATAAAATGTATTTCTATATTGAAATATATAATTTACAGTGAAAATTATAGTTTATAGTATTTTGTTATATTTTAAAGATATATTTTATATATGTACTGTATTTTGGATGTGTAAAACTTCTACTTATGTATTGGAACATTTTGTGTCTACATTTTATTTATTGTACAAAGTATGTACAGTTACTGTTTGATAGTTTTGTCAGTGTGAACCAATCATAAGAGGAGTTGATTGTGCAAAAAAATTTTAATGTGTTTCATTTTTATCACTATTTTTAGTCTGCATTCAGATTTAGAAAATGAATCTCACAAGTAATACACATATTAGAAGAAATTATTTTATTACTGTGATCTCAGCATCAGCATTTTATACTTGAAGCAAAAATATACCAAAACTAATTGGAGCTGGGCATGGTGGTGGATGCATGTAATACTAGCACCTGGCAAACTGAGGCGGGAGGATGGCAGGTTTCAGGGCAGGCTGGGATATATAATAAGATCTTGTTTCAAAATAAACAAAAAACCACAGTAATTGGATAGTGATGGATGACACTGAGTGGAATAAATGCCTTTTTAAATGATTTCTGGATTCTCTCCAGACCGTTAGAAAAGCACCTCTTTTTAAAAATGGTTTATTTGGAACATTAAAAGTTGGATTAGGCCTCTCAAAGCACACTTTTTTGAGCTCTAACAGAATTAAAATCTATTACACAAACTAGTGCTATTCTTACTTTACTAAATATTCTGTTCCAAAAGCCATGTGTTCTGGGCCAGGTATGGTGGTACACAGTTATATCCCAGCTATGTGGAAGGCACAGGTAGGATGCTTGCAGTCCAAAGCCTGCCCAGGCAAAAGCAAGACCCTATCTGAAAAATAAAGTAAAGCGAAAAGGGCTGGGGGGTGGCTCAAGTGGTAGAGTGCTTGTGGCTGAGAGAGAGAAGAGGGAAGAAGGGAAGGAGAGTGAGGGAGGAAAGAAAGAGAAAGAAAGAAGAAAGGAAGGGCAGGGAGGGAGGGAGTAAAGGAAGGAAGGAAGGAAAAGAAGAAGAAAGAAAGAAAGTCATGTGTTCTGAGGTAGCCTCATAGTAGAAGTGGCAGGGAATTCAGGTCTTTACCTTCAGTTTTGGAAATTTCGCTTAAACCAGGGCTTCCCTGCTGTTGGGAGGTATAGAAATTGTAGCAGCTAGCAAAGCCATAGACTAAGCAGCGCTGATTCCCACTTCTCACCGGCTGATGGCTTGCTATCAGCTTTTACCGTTGAACTCCACAGTGTCCAGAAGCCCAGGATAATAGCCTCGTGACTTTATCTCGGAACTCTCTCACCAGCTGTCTGTTTGGAAGGTGATTCTAGAGGAGTTAATGACTTTTTTTCTCGTGGGCCACAAAACCGGTGTGTGGTCTGGTTTTCAAGGAAAAAGAATCTCAGGATGCTTTTCCAGTTGTTCGAACATATTCTCTTGTGTAGTATCAATTTTAACATGACATAATAAATAGCACATCAAAACTGGTATTCCTTTTTCCAAGTAGTACCTTTGCACAAACACCTTTTTAAAAACATTAGTCTCTCACATCTAGAAGCTGAAAAATATTCTTTAGAAGTTTGTAGTGTCAGGTCACAAACAGTAATGTTTTCACCAGTGCATTATTTATATATACCAAGAGAATTAGTATAATTTGTTCCTTAAATGTTTGGTGGAATTCACCAGTTGGACCCATTGATTCATGGTGGTTCATGCCTGAAATCCTGGCACTCAGAAGGCTGAAGCAAGAGGATCACAAGTTCCAGGTCAGCCAGGGTCTCACAGTTTCAGCTCTGTCTGAGCTGCACAGTAAGACCCTGTCTCAACCAAAACAAGAACAAAACCAAATTCTTTAATAGATTAGGCCTATTCAGATGGTCTGTTTCTTCTTGTATGCATTTTGGAAGATCCATTTCTTCTAGTTGTCCAAATGTATGAGCATAGTGTTGTTTATAACATTTATTATTTGTAATGTCTCTGGGATCTATAATCATGTCCCTCTTTCATTTATGATATTGGTAAAACTAGTGAATAGTTTTTTCTTAGTTAGCCTAGCTATAGGCTTACTGATTTTATCTTTTCAAAAAAACCAGCTTTTGGGTTTGTTAATTTTCTCCACTGACTTATTTCCAATTTCATTTATTTCTGCTCTAATTTTTATGACTTCTGATCTTATGCTTACTTTGAATTTAATTTGCTCTTCTAATCTAAGGTAAAATCTTAGATTTCAGATTGTTCTTCTTTCCTAATGTATACATTCAATGTTACCAATGTTTTCTCTGCAGATCACAAAATTTAAGTTGTATTTTCATTTAGTTCAAAATATTTAAAAATTTTGTCTTCAGGTATCTTATTTGATCCATATATTATTTAAAACATTTTTTATGCTTTTGTTTTCTGGAGATCAAACCCAGGGCCTTCTACATGGTAGGCAAGCACTCTTGACTATACTCACACCCCTAGCATCATGCTGTTTAATGTTCTAGTATTTGAGATTTTCCAGTTACCTTTCTAATACTGGCTTTTAGTTTAATTAGGTTGTGCTCTGACAGCAAACATTTTATGAACTCTACTCATCTAAATTTGTTAAGATGTGTTTTGTGGCACAAAATATATTTACCTTCACAAATCTGTGCTCTGCTGCTGTTGGATTAAGTGATCTATCAATGTCAATTATATACTGTTGATTGATGATGCTGCTGAGTTCAACTATGTCCTTCCTGATTTTCTCCCCACTGGATCTATTTCTAATAGAGAGCTATTAAAGTTCCCAACTATAATAGTGGATTTGTGTATTTCTCTCTGCAATTCTATCAGCTTTTTCTGCATGTTTTCTGACACTGTTGTTAGGCACACTCGTTAAAGATTGGTGTATCTTCTTGGAGTGTTGATCCCTTTATCGTTATGTAATGGTCTTTTTTAGTCCTGATGATTTTCATTGCTTTAAAGTCTGCTCTGTCTGAAATTAATAATTGACTCTTACTTTCTTTCAATTAGTATTAGCATTTCTGCCTTTCTCCATTCCTTTACTTTTAATCTGTCTTTAAATTTAAAATGAGTTTCTTGTTGATAACATACAGTTGGGTCTTATTAGTTTTTTTATTTACTCTGACAATCTGTCTTTAATGGGTATATTTAGGCCATTGATACTTAAGGTGACTATTGATATAGATTAATAGCTACTACATTTGTTACTGTTTTCTATTTGTTGCCTTATTCTTTGTTCCTACTTTTGTCTGCCACACTTTTTCTGTTTTTGTCATTTTTTATAATTCTATTTCCTCTCTTTTGCATATCAGTTATGCTTTTTTTTTTCACTTTTTTTCAGTGGTTTCCCTAGATCTTATATTTTATATCCACTTTCAAATAATACTATGTCACTTTATGGGTAATGTGAGTACCTTGAAATAACAAAATATTTCTAATTCCTCCCTCCCATCCCTTGTATCATTGCTGTCATTCATTTTGCTTACACATATATATACACACACACATACATACACAATAAAATACATAGTTGCTATTTTTTAAATGAATTAGATAAATATAAGAATAACAAAACTAAGGCTGAGCCCTGTGGCTCATGACTGTAATCTCAACTACTCAGGAGATGGAGATCAAGAGGATCATGGTTTGAGGCCAGCCCAGGCAAAAAGTTATCAATACCCCATCTTAACAAGTAAGTTTGACATGGTGGTGTAATCATAGGCATGTGCCTGTAATCCTAGCTACAAGGGAGGTATAAATAGAGGATGGTGGGAAGCAAAAATGAGAGATCCTACATGAGAAATAACTAAGGCAAAGGGCTGGGATGTGGATTGAGTGATAGAGACTTATCTAGCAAATATGAGGTCCTGCATTCAATCCCTGGTACCAATTCCCACCCTCCACCTCCCCCACAAAAGGAATAGGAAAACTAAAAGTTTTAACTTCACCTTACCTTATTAATTATGTTCTACCTTTTTAATGTTGACCTTAGTTTCTGGTCTTATATCATTGCCCTTTTCTCTGAAGAACATCTTTTCCTTCAAGGCAGGTCTGCTGATTTAGTTTTTGTTTGTGAAAAAGTGTTTTTCCTTCATATTTGAAGGATAATTTTGTGCACAGAATTCTAGGTGGGTGGGTGTTTCTGCTCAATATTTTAAATATCTTACTCCACTCTCTTCT